TTGCTTTTAGTAACCTTTAGCCCCTATAAGAGTAGCACACCAGGCAACAATATAGGGATTGTGTGATGGGGTTGGGGATGTCAGCGTACTCAAATCTGATCATTACCCATGTTTCATGGTATCCCATCCTTATCTTGTCTCCCTTTCTTTTTATACGACCCCTATATGCCTTCTTTTTTTTATTCGCAGGATTTTTTATTTACTAGACTTTCATACAGGAGTCATTGACAAGTGGGACATAGTGATCCGAATGGAAATTTTCTAGAGCTGTATATACCCAGCACCATAAATAATATGGAACCATACATGAGTCATCTGCTCATTTGCCACCAAACGGACTCCCCTCGCAAGCCAGAAAAGGAGGACGAGAGGCGCGCGCACCTTCGTTGGCGCCTTTCTTCAGCTGTTTGTAGTTGACGGCCTGCTTGATGAGTTCCACGATGGTAAGTGTGAGCTGCGAGTCCGCCAGAGGGTATGCTTTGGGGTTGGGAGCGGCTGCCTGCATGTGTAGAACGTCTTTGCAAATGAGATCGGAGTGAAAATACTTCCTAGCTAATACGTACCATGTCTATCGTCGCAGTCTCTGTTAAAGGTGAATACTTGTTCCTGCCTCTCTGCTGCGTTAACTGCTAGCTTCACTGAGGACAAAACAACTCGATACGAGGTTTAAGTGATGAAACGTCGTTGCTACGTACGCACCGCCACGTGGTTGAATGAATGACGTCACGTAAATTAGAAGCTAAGACGGGACATCCCCTCACTGTTTCCCTTTCCAAACGGAGGACGGTTCGCTGGGTGGTGGCGGTGTTGGTGCGACTGTCTGCGGTTGTCTCTCACCCGCGTCTCCTGGGATTCCGTCTCCCGACCTCTTTTGTCGTGTTAGTCCTTCAGAGACGTAAGGCAGCAGACGATTTTCAAGTTCATCGGCGTGTTTTGTGTGTGCGCAGCTGCGGAATAAAAAGCGCCTGCTATTTACTCACACCCCTGCTGGCCCTAAGCTGTCTTGCAGGCGAGACCCTCACGCGAAGGGAGAGAGGATCCGCGTATTAGTACTGGGTGTGTGCAACTTGCAACGCGATATTTCTATTCCGCGATATTTCTCTTCCGCAGTGACTGGGCCGGTGTACCACAAAACGAGGGACTCCAGTGGGCAGACAGGAGAAAGAGGGAATGGGACTGTACCACTCGAGGTTCATAGAAGCCCTCAAGAATGGCTCCGAGGACGAGGTCCGTCAGTTGTACAATAACAGGAAATCCGTGAGAGACCGCATCGACCCGAACACCTCCCTAGGGCCGGCCCACAACGACAACAGCGTTCTCCACTACGCTGCCCTCCATGCAATGGAATGGCTGTACCGAGATCTCCTGACGAGGGGGGGCAAACCCGACATGAGGAACGGAGTCGCCAGAAACTGCCTCCACCTCGTGTGTTCGTGTGTGGAGTCCAACAAGAGAGAGGCCGAGAGGCGGGCGAGGATTGTCCTGCTGACGATCCACGAGGGCCTGTTTGGAATGGACGTTGAGCACGTTCTCCGCGAGAGGGACGAGGACGGGAACACGGCTCTCCACCTCGCGGCCTCGGCCGGTCTCCAGAGCTGCGTGGAGGTTCTACTGGAAAACAAGGCAGATCTCTACGTCACCAACAAGAAGGAGCAGACGGCCGCTGACTGCGCATCTGAGTGTAAACGCAGCGCCCTAGCCACCCTCATTGAGACTAGGATGGTTTTTACAGTGAGTCCATACATATATACATACCTCCACCTTGTGTTCTGTGTATATTCCCTAGAAAAGGAGAACCCTGCCCATTGTATTGTTCAGTGTATTGCGGTGTGAATGTAGGATAACTCTGTAAAGATCCATTGTTACACAGTGCTTAGCTAAGGCACCATTTTGTTTTGTTGCACTTGTCAATGCTCTCTTGTGTTTTGCTCAAAGTGCAGTTTTCAGTTTCATTACCCCTTGCCATGCTGTGTACCCCTTGCCATGCTGTGAGTTAGTGTTTGCATAGCATGACCATACTCTCACGGCCACAAACTATGTATGTAGTTACCCTAACTCTTAGTAAAGGGGCAGAAAGAGAATGTGGCAATTTTGCCTACTACGTACATGCAGCGTTAGCTTAGCTGTAGGATGCCATTCGTACTTTAGTGTGTGGTTTATGTTGCTCTTCAAAGGCCACACCTTAACATACATGTCGTTTCGGCCATTGATGACATATACCCAGAGGAGCTTAAACTAAAAAGAACATCTGAATCACCAACAACACTGTCATACTTAGATATACATATAACTATAACAAATGGGAAATATTCCACGGCAGTATATGATAAACGGGATGATTTTAACTTCAAAATTGTAAATTTTCCATATCTAAGTTCCAATATTCCATCTGGACCAGCATACGGAGTTTATATTTCCCAATTAGTACGTATAGGTAGAATATGTAGTGATTACTCGGATTTTACGTTGAGACATTTCAAACTAACGGAGCGACTGATTCATCAAGGATACAGATACTCTGATTTGTGCAGGTCCTTTTATAAGTTTGCTAAAAAACACGCACAAATTATGATTAAATATAGCTACGGCATACGCAAACATGTGGAGGATGGTATATGTCTGCCAGCAATGGATAGATTCCTCAGTCGCCATGTGTCGCATAGATAGAATGTATATTTATAGTCACATATTTATTTTGAATAATCTATTTTTAACATTTCTATTTCTACCATTTCTACTATTATTTATATTATTTTTTAATATTTTTCTTACACGTGTATATGCTGTGCGTTATTTAAAGTAATCGACAGAACTATTAATCTTATTTTAGGAGATCTATTTTTTCTATTTTTCTTACACGTGTATATGCTGTGCGTTATTTAGAATAATCGCACGTTTTTTATGTCTCCGTCGTGTCGTCGTGCTGCGTGAGTTTCAGAGTTTTTATATTTTTCTATAAGTTTATTGGTCCTTTGAGGCTTTCTATTTTTCTACCGGCTGTTGTTTTTATCCTGTAGCTGTCGTTTTTTGTACATGATTTCTATCTATTTATTTTATAACTATGTGTAAGGGAGGTTGGGACACTGGGTGTGTAGGGAGAGTTGGGCCCATAAAAGACTCTTTAACCTACCGCCCCGGTTCTCAAGGCTGGGCACCCAGGGTCCTGCCTCTTTCTTTCTGTTTATATGTTATTGTCTGTGTTTTTGTACGCTTGGGTATGTTATTGTCTGTGTTTTGTGTGCTTGGGTGGGGGAGGTTCTTTCTTTTCCTCTGAGCTAGTATGCTATAAACATGTTTTTTCATGTATACACACATCATACTGACGGCTATGTATATTATATAACCGTGTACGTAGTGATCATAATGTCATAAGTAACATTGAAGGAGTTATTGTGTGCCTGTTATTTCACATGCTATGCACTCTAAAATTGTCTATTATAGCTCCAGAGTGTAGTTTTAATTTCCTTTACTGATAATGCAAACCGCAAATACAGTGTGAGACAGTTATGACCTACTGTGTAAACTACTTGGTCTGTATTGTTGCAGGCGGACGACGACGGAAGCTCCGCCCACGTCGTTGATCCAGACCACACCCACCTGATGGAACTGGCCGAGGCTCCGTCGGGGATGAGGGACAGCGACCTCCGCTCCATGAAGGACCAGCTGCTCATTGAGACCTCGGAACTCCTGGGGGTAAGTTTGTCTCCTCCTCTCTACATACCACCGTACAGCTAGGAGGAAACCTTGAGGGAGAAACTATGGCGAGTTTAACATTTTTTAACCGTCCACAAAGGTTACTTGATGAAATGTTGAATGGAGTCATTTATAAATATTGTGGGACAGGCTATCTGCCGCGAGTTTTTTTACTGCAAATCCGAATCATGGAAGACAGCTTTATACTGAGCTAAGATCTAAGATTGCTTTTTTCGCCATTATTTTTTGTATCTGCACGTCTCGATTCAATTTTGTTCCAAATAGGCCAACAAATGTCTGCATTAGTCACGCATACGTTGTAGTCCGTGAGTCCAAATATGCTAAAACGTTCTTCATCAGATTATCCTAGACATTATTGTGTCATAGTAGGTACGTATGTACGTATAATGCATATCTCTCGTTGCTATAGGTGTCGCTGTTTACTTCAGAAGCACTTCTCAGACACCATGGTAATATTACATAAATGCTGTCTCTCTCATAATTTTCCTGTTGGCTAGTGCTATAGCTGTACAGCCCCCGTCACTTGTCCAAGTGTTTGTCCGTAATATTAGATCTATACTGTATGTTGCTCTTGCTCCACTCACCCCAAAATGCTATAGGTTGATTATGAATCCCTCTCTCCCTCCTTCCCTCTCTCCCTCTCTCCCTCTCTCCCTCCCTCCCTTCCCTCTCTCCCTCTCTCCCTCTCTCCCTCTCTCCCTCTCTCCCTCTCTCCCTCTCTCCCTCCCTCCCTCCCTCCCTCCCTCTCTCCCGCCAGGCTGGTCAAAGGAGCAGCTGCTGGAAGCCTGGATGGAGAATCCAACCGAAGTCTGTGAGAAAGCTGGAGTCCAACTCCCCACGAACCTTGGCACCCACAACCTGGACACACCCTCCGTAGTCTCCCCGCCTCGGGGACCGCCCGGGGAGGAGGTGGAGGGGGAGGAGGGAGGGGAGAGGGAGTGTGGAGTGTGTGTGGTGACGTTCGTTCCCGATGTTGAGGTTCCTTGTGGCCACGTCTTCTGCCGCGACTGCTGGAGACACTATCTTCACCAGAAGATTGAGGCTGGGGATGCCCACTCCATCGTCTGTCCGGAGTATGGCTGCTTCAAACTGGTGCCAATTGTGAGTCATTTTACCAAATGAAAGAGCACTAAAGTGCAAACCCTCGGCGAACTGCTCATGGGCAGTACCGCTAATTGATGGGCTGGGCTGCTTTTAGTATGCGTTTTTACTCGTGGTCTCCCGCTAGTAGCTCGCAGAGTCTGACACGGGCTAGCTACAGTAGTAGATAGCATGCGGGAGTCGATACACGCCCTTCGTTGTGACTTCTTGTGCCTTCAAGATACACAGAGCGAGCGGACCTGCGCGAGGTAAGCCTGTTCTAATTAGCATAGCATGCACGCCTGAGTAATGGACACCTTGGGACCAGGCATTTTGTCCTATATAAGGAGGTTGTCCAATCTACTGGAGTAATAGAAAAGTTAATGTTTGGAACCCCAAAGTGTGTCCTTTAGTGAGAGATTTGTGTCCTCTGGGTCTTTTATCAGAGGTTCTTTCTGTCTTGATGATTGGTGAGCTAATAGGCTGACCTCCTCATCTGAATTGGATGTACATATGTGGCTGATTCACCATGTACAGCTACTATCACAATGCCCACACCTTCCACTGTCACTTAGTCCATGGACTCCAACCAATTATTAGTATGCATGGTGTAGCTGACTTGTTTACTTTGCCTCCTGGCCTCATGCAGGATATGTTTGCATGTATAAACCTCACCTGTGTTTCAAAGGTGCAGTTCTTTATGGCTTACTAAAGTCCCATACAGTAAGTATTTCCCATCAGACTGGTTTCCTAGTCTTACGTTTTGCTAAAGCTCTTCAATTTCTGTTTCCTCATAAGACTCTTGGCCCCTTTGGGTGACCTTGCAGGAGACATGTTTTTCATGCCAAAGAGGCCATTTCCAAAACAATAAAGTTTCCCAACATCGGCAGCTGCTTCCACTTAGCTGCTATGGTTAATATTACGTGGTGCTACATGATGCAGTATATGTTGTAATGTTACATCACGCCCTGGTCATGTGACCTCCAGGAAGTGATAGAGGGTGTGGTGTCGAGGAAGATGACCCAGCGTTACCTCCAGTTTGACATCAAGGCCTTTGTGGAGTCACACCCGACCATCCGCTGGTGTCCCTACCCCGACTGTCACCGGGCGGTCCGGATTACCACACCCAATGACACGCCCGGCGACGCCCAGCAACCAACCACCGTTCACTGCGGCAACGAACACTACTTCTGTTGGTGTGTACACAAGTTTAGATCTGGCATTCAATTGCACGTGTATCTTTCAATTGACGTGTGTACGTTTGCTAGCGTATATATATAGATTACCACTAGATGGTTACTTTAAATGTGTTTATTTTAGAATGAACGTTTTTACTGCTTCCATCTGAGCATACATTCATATCTTTTGATGTACAACTCCTCTAACCAATGGGACAGCAAGAAAGTCCTCGTGTTAATGTGGTGTCCTTCCAGAGGCTTAATTGCATTCGAGAGCTGTTCTTGGTGGAAGATTAATAGAGAGGAGTCCTCAGAGAGGGTCTTCAAATGTTGGCGAGCAAACCGAGTCTACCTACGTATATAGTCGTCTCAATGCAGCTTTCTATACCTATAATTGTGTGACAGGCACTGCACGTATGACGTACCATATCACTTTACGTGATTTTGAATACGCACTCGAAATATTTAACTGCTCGCGTTTTCTTGCTGGCACGGGCAAAAAAAGTAACCTTCAGTATTCGAAACTACATGAACGGAGCCCTTCTTTGCTACGAGCAACTTTGTCAGAAGGGAAAAGATATAATTGTTTATGGTGACCTATTGCCCACTTTTCATTCGTTTTAGTACACATGGTTGTGTTCACTAGAGTAATACAACGCATTTGTTGGCGAGCGAGCACAAGAAGTTCAATATTTCGCGCGTTTTTGCCCGTATTTAGAATCACGTAGAAGATCACGGTGCGATGATGATACCTGCAGGAGCTGTTCCGGAGAGCCCCACGTCCCCACGTCGTGTGAGGGCTGGAGAAAATGGCTGGACCATGTGCAAGAGATGGCGCCCCAGATCGGCGACCGGACGACCTCGCAGCTGGACGACGCCGCCAGCCAGAGGTGGCTGGCAACTCGCAGCAAACCATGCCCCAAGTGCCGGTGAGTGTCTGTGTCAAATCTTGGCCTTTTCTAGATATTTTAGGGTGATACATGGGCAGCACAAGTTAAAGGGACTCCCCATAATTATATCCTCTCCTGCTGGTATATACAGGGCACCTATTGAGAAAACTGATGGCTGTAACCACATGTGCTGTAAAAAGGTCAGTCGTCATACCTACCGTTGGTACAGGGCATAAAATATTCGTAGTGATGCATAAAAGTCTTCAGAAATAATTATGTTCTAAAAAGTTGTGAAATGTACAAACTGTCAATTATTGATATGTTTTATGAGTTAAATTTAGCATGCCAAACCGTTTGATATTATTTCCCACGGTATGTGGTACAGCTGTATTGTACAAGTACAGTCCTTGTCTTTGATATGGTGACACATGGTGCTACAATGTATACACACTGATGTGTGTCTGTCTCTCTCTCTCTCCCTCCCTCCCTCCCTCCCTCTCTCTCTCTCCCTCCCTCCCTCCCTCTCCTCTCTCTCCCTCTCCTCCCCCCTCTCTCTCTCTCTCCTCTCCTCTCTCTCTCTCTCATCTCTCTCTCTCTTCCTCCCTCCACTCTCCCTCCCTCTCCCTCTCCTCATCTCTCTCTCTCGTCTCCTCCCTTCTCCCCCCCCTCCCTCCCTCGTCTCCATCTCTCTCTCTCTCTCCTCTCCTCCCTCCCCAATCCCATCAAGAGCGGACGCTCCACTTCTTAAATAAGCCCGATACCCTATAAATAGAGACCCTCCCATACCGTCGCCAACAGTCCAGGGGCGACCGGCGGAAAACAAAAAATACGACCGTCCCCCAAATCGGAGGAAGGTGCGACGACCGATTCCCTCTCACTCCCAAGACGATACCCTCCTCCCCGCGTGGTCCCTCCTCTCTCTAGACATGCCATCCTCAACTGGCTAATCACAATCCGGGAGTCTGACAACTCGGATCGCCACCATGCGAAAATAAAACTCTGGGAGTGTCATAGCTTACGCGATTGTCATCGTCGCCGTTACTGACGGGCATCCTCGGTAGGATCCCGACAAGAAGGTTTCGTCTCACGCTAGACTCTCTACTTATCATCTTGATAAATCAATAAGATGCGCCGCAAGCCGGGACTCGAGCAGGAATCCAGGATCGGCCTCGGGATCCTACACCGCAGATCTCTAACTTCAAGAGGAGACACAGGCCCCCATCGCCTCTCTCATTCGTGACACGGGGAGGAAGAGCGGGAAAGGAGGGAGGGGCATCTCCCTCCCCCGCCCGCCCCTAAGAGAACTGCCCGTCACCTAGTCCCTCCGACTTCTCATAATCAATCTCACTTCACGATCATCGACGTCTGCTCAGCGTCGAGGATCGCAGCTATCCCTACTCTTCGTATCGTACATCAGAACGGGGTAGAGGCAAATGCCCGTTCCTCCTTACCTGGCACACAATATACCTCATGCTCCATCGTTATGTCTCTGCTCGGGGAAAGTCGGGAGAGAGAGAAGCAACTTAATTGAGCTCCTCTCAGTGCTGGATCTCATCGAATGCCTATGCTCGCTGATCTCCCCCCTCATCCTCGTCCTCATAAATGAGGACAGGGCATCCCTTCCCTGGCTCACTCGATACCAGCTGAAGTACGCCTCTAATCTGCTCAGTCAGTACCCTCGGGATCCGGAGACATATTCAGACATTCACTTCCCACTGTCATCAGCTCCATCGTCCGTCGACACGTCCGACCTATCTGCAAGAACAGCCTGCCTCTCGCTCGGGTACGTCTAAAAAGAAGCACGAGCATCCTAATGATCATAAGGACTCAGGGAGAATCTCGAACCATCCTTCATCCTCTCTGCGCTCTTCGTCATCTGCTCCTCTCTCCCGGGTATCTCTCGTTCAGTGTAAGCATGACTTCTGTTGGGTGTGTCTGGATGAGTGGAAACTACACAACACGTCTACTGGAGGCTATTTTGAGTGAGTCCTACTGACACAACGGCCCACATACACGGCCCATCCTGTTATATGGATGTCGTGGGTGCAATCTTGTGCCCTCTCTTTTTTTGTTGGCTTTTTTTTGTTCTTTTGCTGATAAATTTGGTTCTTTGCTTGGCCTTGTTAAAGATTTTATTTTGGATGTTTGGGAGCTAAGAAAGGTTAGGTTATATGGCGATAGTCCCCGTGTACAACAAACCCAGTCTCAGATTGTGTCTGGGGAGCTGCAGGGTGTCACTGGTGGAAGGGGTGAGTTGAGGTGTCTGGGAGGTGAGACAGACACCTCATGTTCATATGGTGTATGTTTGGTTAACAGTTCCGCCCAATGCTCTGGGTGCGTGGTCTATGGCCCTAGTGCTATGGCAGCCACCTGAGTAGTAGTATTATTATTATTTGCTTGTTTTTTTTGTCTTCTTGCTTGTTTTTTGTCCATATTACAAAGGTCAATTGTTTAAAAAAGGGGGGGGGGGAATGGGGGAAATGTTTGTGAGAAGTGCATACAATGAAGATGTGCACAGACTCACGAGCAAACCACAGTTACCTACACAGCTGGTACAGTCAGCTGCACGCACGCTCTAAAGCAGAAACTGCTGCCTCGTAAATAGAAGTTCACAGTTTAGAGGGGATCTCCCCATTATAATCATATGTTTCCCTCCCCTCCCCACACCTCTCCTGTTCTTTAAGATGTAACAGATATGAGGTCAGGAGAAAAGCCGACAGTCAACTGGTAAAAAGGAAAGAAGAGGTGAAATTTTCGAAATTGAATTCAACTAATTTATATTTACTGCATGGTTAGTAAGAAGCGAGCCTTCCTAGATGTCTAATGCGTAATTGTTCCATTTGTGTATATGTACTGGAACTGCCATGTTCTAAATACACGTGAAACACGTGCGAAAAATCGAACCGCTTGCTTCGCTCGCCAAAAATGTGTTTCATTCCTGTAGTATTTGTGGTTTCATGAAATGGGAAATCTCTAACCAAGCGAAAATCCCACCACATGTTACTGTTTGTGTGTGTCTGTGTGTGTGTTAGGTAATGGAGGGAGTGGAGGAGGTGGAAAAGCTGAGGAGATTCATCCACTATTACGAGAGATACAAGACGCACAGGGAAAACCTACAGGTGCTAATATACAGACTGTTGCCTTTGTCCTGTATTGTATGGTGCTGCAGATTTTAGCCCTTGTAGCCCTGGCTAGCGAGCAAACTTGTCTGTATGAAGAATTTCTCTGTAATATATCTGTAACAGCGAACAGATGGACTCACATACCGTAATGCTTACGTGTTTCTAAATGTGCGCGAAAAAACGCGTGAAATATTGAACTACTTGCTTCGCTCGCCAAAACTGCACTGCGTTTAGGAGTCTGAGGTGCCCTTGTTATCTCAGTTAGTTACAGGGTCCACTGCCCGCTGAACTGTTGCCTGGCCAGCTGGTAGCTGAGTGCCCTGCGTAGAGTGTCGTGGGTTCGAATCCCACCCAGGGCAGCTCAGCTTTTCAGAGTTGTTTTGTGAGTAGATGTTATTGCTTAGCTTTACATCTGCCTTGAGCCTCGTTAAACTGGCGTCGTTCGTTAGCTACCATGATTATCAAACAGTGTGGGATCCCAAAGTGGACGATGTACTACGTACATCTTAAGCGAGAGTTGCCGTTGTAGTAATGGCTGATAACCACGTCTTGGCTCCTACTTTATCGGACTTTGTTTACTGGTATATTATGTCACAGTGTAACCTTCGTATGTATGTAATCATTTCCTTGTTGCGTATCAACGGATTTTGTTTGCTAACAAAGGAAGATGGGTCCATAGTAAAAGAAATGAACTTCCTCTGTGGCTTTGTGATAGTGGCAATTCTTGGAAATCAGTTGTCAGCTAATTCCTTGGCATACTTGGCTAGTTTGCAATCCTGTGCCCCTAAACTGTACGCCAACATACCTTTACAATGGAGACTGTAGGTCTGCTCTAGGCTGCATGCTACGCTGTGTTCCAATTTTTCAAAGAACTTTGTACCTTTAACAAATTCATTATAATTATACGTACTTTCCATGTCATAGCATTCCATGCTCTGCCAGCAGTTTACATGAAACCATAGATTTATGAGACTACATATCCTCATATATTTTCGCTGAATAACTATGCCTTCACTTTCAAGAATAAAAAGGCTTCAGTATTGCTATTTCTCCCACCTTCTATTGTCAGTTGGAATTGCCATTTCTGGAGAAGGCAAACGTCAAGTCTGAGAAACTGCGAGCCTCGGTCCAGAACATGGACACTTCTCGACGCTACACTGTCTCTGTCGATATGTCCTTCATCGAGGAGGCCATTCGAGAGCTGCTGGCCTCTCGTCGCATCCTCGTCGCCTCCTATCCCTTCGGCTACTACGTGGAGGGTAACAGGGCTCGCCGCCTCTTTGAGAATATTCAGGTCTGTGTGTGCGTGCGTGTGCGTGCATGCGTGCATGCATGTGTGTCTTGTCTTGTGCTGTCTGTGATAGCTACCAATGTGCGCTGCGGCTCACCGCACATGTGTGGCCAGTCCTCTAATAAGCTCTCTGTGTTTTTTATTGTCCCTTGTCCTTTCTCTTGCTTTGTTTCTTACGTAAGTGTGCTGTTCAATTCTTGTGTGCGTGTGTGTGTGTGTGCTGCCCTTGATCAAATTTTGCCTTCCTCCACTGGAGATTGGGGAAACCTTATGCACACATACACAGTGTTTCGCCTGCCATAAATACAATGTGTCAGTTTATGTGACTGTAAGTGATACTTCAGTACTGTGACTGTATGTTACTCAGCATGTGTGTGACTAGTCTCGTACCCAGCCCCCCCCTCTCTCTCTTCTCTCTCTCTCTCTGCTCTGCTCTCTCTCGAGGAGGGGTTCTGGTTGTGCTGAATCAGCAGCCTTGTGATAATTACATAACCACACGCAAGTTACTTTGGATACGCTCGCGAACACTGCGGCGTGCACACGAGCTTCGTTCTACGTGGTCACATGATCTACGTGACATTCAGTGATCTGATTGGCTCACCGAAAACTAAGACTGCTGAATCAGCACAACCAAGAAATCGCTCAACTGTCACCAGACGGACCCTTTTCCTATTTGGAGGGGCGGGGTCTGGGTATGAGACTAGTGTTTGACTGATAGACAACATGTGTTGCAACTGTAAGTACGTGTATGATGTGTACTACCTATACTGTTTGTAGGGTACACTGGAGCAAGTGACAGAGCTGCTGGCACAAGTGGTGGCCAGACCACACCTCCGCAAGCCGCGGGCGGAGATCATCAGACTCACCTCCGAGTGCCGCGAGAAGAGAAAATGGCTCGTCAAAGACTGCCGCGATCTCCCGTGAGTTGGAGGGGAGGTTTGGATCACGTGACACTCACATGACTGTCATGTGACTGTGCTTGTCAGTGGTTGAGCTCAGACCCCACCCAGTCGTCACGTGGGGAAGGGGTCTGGCACATTTCTTGCACGGTCATAGATCTCGAAACCAATCAGATTGCTGAACGGCCGACCAACATCACGTGCATCCGTAGTCCGCGAACTTTTGTGGGCGGGGCTTGTATGCAACATATACTAGAAGAGCAGTTCGCGTACTACGGATATGACATCATAATGACCAAGTTTTGTGCAAAGCTACCAGATGCTCCTTCTCCCCTTGTGGATTGAGCGGCTGGGTGTGAAAGAATTCCGGTAGAATGAAAATGCAGCTCAACCTGTAGGATTGATTAAAACACAAAAACAAGAACAATTGTACACTCTCTATCTATCACTGCATGCAGAGACCCGACTCCGCCCACTAGACGACACAGACTACCCCTGTTTGGTCTCCGTGACTACAGTCCTCCGTCGTCGTCATCGGACGAGATCGAAGACGCCTTCATCCGACACTTGCGCAGCTTCGACTCTCGCCACCGGCAACAGCTGTCGTCGGGGCAACAGCAGGGCGGAGAACGAGGGGCGGGGCAGAGGGAGGCGCTAGAGCAGGAGTTACTGCAGGCTATACAGCTGTCCCGGCAAGAGCACGAAGAACACATAAAGCTGGAGGCTGGTTAGTTGCAGGATGAACAATGATGTTTCCTCGTACCATATTAGTAAGAGCAATTTTACACAATTTTCCGTGTTATCGTCTCTGCCGCAAACTACGTTCAACTGCCGTAGTACGTGTTAAATGGTGTTTTATGTAACTGGTTGTAGCAAAATTCTCTGCAAGTGCTCAAGCTCTTGCGCATCAATGGATCAGTAAACTCTTACCCCCGTTGAGCTCCCCAGAACTGCCGGTTTGCTCCCACAATAATAGGTGTTGAAAACTGAGTACGGCTGTCGTTGCCTTTTATATGCCCATACGTTGTGCTAAGAGATGTGCAAATTGTGGTTGTCAAATTACTGCAAACAATTACAATGTGATGCAGTGTGTACCTATGTTTCATGTTCACTTCTTTCTCCACCAGACATAGAGAGAGCAAAGGAACTGAGTTTAGCAGACACCGGAAACCAGCCAACTGCTGAGTCGGGACTTCTCTTCCTCGGTGATACCACCACGCCCCATTCTCGGAGAATGACCACAGAAAACCAGCCAAAATGGTTTTTCCCAGTCGAGACGACAACACCCCTTCGGAGGCAGCTGCCCCCCTCCCACCTACACCGTCTCTCGTTCCCCCTCGTCCCCTCTCCCTCCTCTCGGCCACACCCTCCCCACAGACCCAGCGTGGATCCACCCCGACTTCCTTATTTGGAATTCCTCCCTCCTATACCTCATCGCGCTCTCTCTCGTCCCTCCCCTCCCTCTTCATCCTCCCCCTCCTCCCCTCCAGCTCCCCCCTCCCCTCCCTCCCCTCCCCTTGTGATAGAACCACGCAAAGGGGAAAATAATTTTGATGACGACACTAGTTCTGCCTCCAGTAGAGGCTGGGACGACGAGGAGCTTGCTAAGGCTCTAAGTCTGTCGCTAATGGAAGCCACACCCCAGCAGCCACACCCCTCTGATTCTCCGACAACAGGTGGGTACATGTGATTGTCACATGACTGACACACACCTGGTATAGGGTCATATTGATAATGAATCTGTTAGTGCTTGCGTAAATGGGGTGATATAGAGGATAACACGATAGTTTGGGAGAAAGATGGAAGTTTGGGGCAAGATGGGGGAAAGGCAAAGGTTTGGACCGATGTAGATAGGGGAAAGGACGAAAGATTGGACCGAGAAAGGGGGAAATAAGAAAATTTGGAGCGAGATAGAGAGAAAAGACAAATAGTTGGAGCGAGGCAGGAAGGATGAAAGTTACAAGCGGACAGGGGGAAGGACGAAAGTTTGAAGCAGTATGGGTAAAAGAAACGGGTGAATGAAAACAGTTTGGAGCGAGATAAAGAGAAAGACACGACTTACACCATGCTCAAGTCTACTGAAAAATCTCACACTAGTGATGGTAGGGGGAGGCAATATACCTTTTCAAGCATGTAAATATGAATTGTCAATGGTTCTCGGTGTGTGATTTGTTTGTTATACCATGCTGCAGTTAGGCCCTTTTTATTCACGCGGCGTTTTTTAACGGAGGAATGCATTTTGTATTATGCAGCAACAGAGGGCGACGAGCTGAATATACCTCCATGGCTGCAGCATCCTCACTGAAGTGACGAAAGTTAGCTGTTAGCCTGAAACACATTTTGTTTTGCAATTTTTCTGTATATTATTATCAATCCAATGTTTTTTAATGATCAAAAGAAGAGGAGATTGTTTGGAGTCGACAGACGTCAGATGCTAGACCGTAAAAATTCATCAGTAATCTTGGTAGGTTCCTCGTGTATGTCTGCGAGATGTTTTTCCTGGAGAGGATGGGAAACCTAAGGTGTGACCTCTGACCTGCCAGTGAGTGTACAGTTTCGAGAAAGCTAGCTGGCTAGAGAGAGATGGTTACTTTCGTCAGCGTACATGGAAAAATCGGTTGGATCTGGCCCTACCACTGAGCTCTGGAGAGTTGCATCTGATTAACTGTTTGAGCCTTCGAATGTAGTCCCGTTGATTGTGATGCGGTTGGTAGGTGGTTGGAGTGTTGATAGAGAGGTGTGATTGCGGATAGCTTGAAAAAAACGGGCGGGGATCCAGTTTTACATCAAGAGAACTGTAAAAATTCTCTTCAGCGAGTTTCATCTGAAATTTATTCATCGTCTGTATAATAGTCCCTCTTTGCAGCTTTATGTAAGCTACTCAAGCAGGATGGGTATTCACCACAATTTAATTATTCCTGATTGTCTTAGCATCAGTTCAGTAAAGGTCCCCATCCAGGTTTCTTGAAGTGCTGGTAGGCATTAGGTGGAATATTCTTCGAGGTGGAGAGCAATAGGTTAGACCAAGCTGGTAGATATTGGTCAATGAGACTTGGCTGGTGAGAAAGTTCAGACTCTGGAAGAAGGGATTGGTGAGGACTTTAATCTTTACCTGGAGTTCCTAGTATATATATTGGAGAAAGAGTTTCCGCATGTGCATAACAGGTGTGTAGCAAAACGAATGTGCCCATGGCCTACTTTTTGTCTGTGCTTCAACCGCTTTAGCAAGAGGAAGAAATAGTATTACAGTAGCTAATAGGGCCAAGGAGCTGAATAATAACAATGTGACTGAAGGGACCAGACTGAAAAATGAACTCTGTGGAGGTTGCGACTCGGTCGCAGTACAAGAGCTTTGAGGCAGAGCTGCAACCGTCAGGCGCTAGGCTAGGCTAGGCCACCACGCGCGCATGCGCATTTGGTTTGTGGGTGGGGCTCGTATTCCGCTGTCACACACCTAGTACCTACACACGTCGAGGGGGGGCCGGGGACTGTCGGCCGGCCGGCCGGCCGCGTGCCGGGCTGAGCGTGGCCTTCTCCTGCTCACCAGGAAGCCGCCGAGCCTCTCTCTCTCTCCCACAGACAGTAACCCAGTAAAATGGCCCAGAGCACTCTGAGAGGGAAACGAAGTAAGTATATTGGGCACAGTTCAGTGACTATAGTGTAAGGGAGAGTTGCTGCACTCTATATAAAAGGGTGTAGACCTAAAAAAAGGACAATCTTTCATTGATTTATAGAAGTTGGGTGCGATGATCCCAGCTGCCTCATTTAGCAAACTTTGAAAGACCTCCAGTTGGGGTAGTGGACAGCATCGCCATTGATTGACTTGGTAACAGAGAAATTCGAATAGTACACTCTAGAGAGAGACACAGCAGCTTTCATGTGAGCAGCAGTACAGGGAGGAGTTTCCCAGTGCAACAGTCCTTCTAAAATGCACATCCTGGAAGACCACGTTGTGCCATGGATGCAGCGGTGGCACATGGAAACAAGCTAAATAACACATCCCATTGGGTGGCATCTACCGTGGCACAAAAAATAAGTATCATCATACTTCCCACAGTTCTTAGAAAGTAGTGGGTAGTTCATTGTGGTGGCAGTTTCCTCGCTGGCCGAAGCACTTCTGGACTTGAAAAACACAGCTATGTACCAGCGAAAGTCTCGAGTTCATGATTGGGAACGTATCTCAGGTATAGTTCATCGGACGGTCGTGATTTTTGGACCATCTCGTGGCTCGCACCGGGAAGAGTCCGAGTTCTCCACTTGCGCATGTTCTACGCACGCGCATACCTCAAAAGGCCGCTAGTAACGTAGCGGAAGTTGCACGCGGAAGCCCGTTGCCATGCGTAACAATGACGTTTTTATTTTTTGGGGGGCGTATCTTAATGTCCGCGCGCACATTGCGGGAAACTGCGCATTGGCGCGACGCTACAAGTATAGTACTTTATAAAGCTCGTGCTGCATGAATTTAGTTGAGAAGATGAGAGAGATGCAGTGGTCTTACAGAACTAGCTGGCTGAACAGATTCACTCATGTGTTGTTAATAGACGGTGGAATGGACTCATATCTCAGCACATGTTCAAACATATTTTGTTACAATCACACAAAATGCAGCAGAGTCAACCCATATAATTTTAGTGCGATGAGACAAACACACATCAGAGGAAATTTTATGCATAAGGAAATTACACACTTAGAAAAGTTAGAAAAATGCTATTTCTGGAGCCCTGTAACAATGGTGGAAATGTGGTGTTGATAATTCCCCTCCTGTGATGGCACAATTTCCAGGCTCACTACACCAGGTGGAGTAACCTGTGATGATACCACGGTAATGAATGCACTTCTAATGTATAATGGTGAACCAACCTCAGTTTCCAGTTGGTAATTACCATTGGCAATACCAGTCACCTGCAATAATGTTATACACTACACAGTTGATTTTCCAATGAACAAGTATTACTAGCTCTGTAGAATCTTGTCCTGGAGATAACTGCCCTGAAACCACAGCTCCAAACAGAGGTCCGTTCACAATTCCAGTCACCTGCAGGATTTTATACCTTATCCTCTTAAATCCTGCAGTAAACCGTTATGTAATACCAGCTCTGAAGGGCTTGCAGTCGATCCTTCCGCTCTCGGCTGAGCGATGTGCGTTTGCAGTTGAACGACGTCGTGCCGAGCGAGGAAAGCTACTAGCAGTACCAACAGCAGTATGATCACTGCCACTGATATCATTATGCAGAACATGCTCGCCTTGAAACCTGGCTTCTCTCAGTATTATCTATTATACTACTTATATATACCGCGGCTCCCTGATCTGAACGTTTTCCGCCCACGGGACGCCATCCGCCCCGTATATGGTTTAGATGCGTGTATATAGCCGCTTGATTATGTACGCACGCGCATGAGAGGTGGAAACTTTGACCTTCGGGGGCCTGCCTTTACCGAGACGTGTACAGCCACCTCTGTGAGTGGGGTATAGGAGTAAACGCTGTGTTGCGAGCGTTGTGTGTGGTAGGATGTACGTATGTATCAACTTGACCCAGAAAGCTGCCGCCCTCTCCCTCTTTAGTTTGCCTGATGTCCGAGACAACGATCGACTGAAGGGGAAAAACCGGACTGCGGTGGTCCATGGTGGTGGTGGTGGTGGCGGTGGCGAGTCACGTGATCTCGGACCCATAGCAACCCCAGCTGTTGACGGTGACACAGCCACAGTGGATGGGGATGGAGGGAGAGAGGGTAAAGAGAATGCTGTATGGTACGATTTGGTTGCATACAATTTGATATATCACCCTCCTTCCTTCTCTCGCTCCTTCTCTCTCTCCCTCTCTCCTCTCTCTCCCTCCTCCCTCTCTATGACCAGACCACTCCAGCAGACAGTACAAGTATCTACCAGCTCAAGTGGGTGGAGTGGAAAGGAGGGTTTGTCCCTGTCATCACACAGGTTAGTTTAATCAACTGTCATTTTTATCACAGTACAACCCTAGACACATGAAAATTAAACTGCTTGAAAATTGCAGTCTTCTCTACTTTTTTCCACCTTTGTAAAACGCTATATATCTGTTTGCAAAATGCCTGCGATGTGTAACATGTACTTGGACCAAGCATCGATGATATGATACAGCGACTTGCCCCCTCCCAAAACTTCCCCCTGCATAATATAGCCACCATAAACCCTCCTTTATAAAGTCTCGAGGTTCTGTTCTCATGACCCCATTCCTACTCGGGCCCCACTCAGAACGAGAACGGACCGTGCCCTCTCCTGGCGCTGTGCAACGTTCTCTTACTCACCGACCGCATGAAGCTGGTTGCCGGGGAAACAGTGGTCACCTCGGCGGCGCTCATGGATCTCCTAGGAACTGCCGTCATAGAGAACATGCCACAGGTATCTATATATCTATCTACTCTCGTTAACCCCCCTCTCGATCGTTAACCCTCACTGCACGCATGCGCAGCGGAGGGTTGTTGCAGTCGGTCTGTGTGTGTGTGTGTGTGTGTGTGTCCGTGTGTCCGTCCGTCCGTCTGTCCACCGTTTTTCTCGGTAACCGCGACAACTCTGAGCGTGAAACGTGGACATATTATCAAGTAGGAGGTATGCATGGTAAAATAAGATTCTGGAGCGGAGAAGGCCGGGGAAGCTGGCGAAACGGAGGGTTGCCGAGGTGAGTGTGCGTCAAATAGAGATAAAGACAGTTGAGCGAGATTGCCAGTGAAGTGAGAGCCAGGAAGCGAATCTGAGTAATTGAGGTGAATGAGAGGGCTATCCCTGGAGGGGAGGTTGTATGGGTTAGTTACATAATGATTATGTAGGTCCAGTGGTGTTATGTATGTATACCTGTCTAGTGTGAGAGCCTGTTCATATGACTTGCAGGCATTCTCATAGTCATTCAGATGAGCCAGTGCAACTGCAGGCAGACAGAATACACACATCAGGGACTCCACACATTAGCAAAGGAAAAGCAAAAGCAGAATGATTCTCAAGCATGCACAGGAACTGCAACCGACCTTTTGAAGCTAGAAAAGGTGCCAAGGCAAAGGTTCGGAGCTACATTACTATATAGACAAAACTCAAAACTCAGGACCCAGATGACTCCCACCACATTTTTTGGGATTTGGAATGTTTCCCAGTAGGGGATGGGCTGCCACTAGCATCAGTGCAAGACTAGGGCAACCCTCGAGGGAGGTGGAGCAAGCCCCCACTTCCCTCCTGTTTCAAAAATTGATGTAATATCGAGCAGCTGCGTACCAGATATTACAGTGGTAAGAACAGTTCAAAAATTCATCATTCTTCAGTACAGAGTGACTGTGATGATGACAGGGCATACACATAGTGACAACTAACAGGTAACAGATAGACAAATGAAGTTTTAAAAATTTAAAAATGCAATAAATAATAACAATCGAATAAACGAAAAAAAGATGAGTGTTTTTGTCCGAAAGGGAGGGGATGCATTTACGAAGTTTTAGAGTCTCGCTCTCCAAATTGTACTTGAGGCACGGAGTGCGTCCGAGATGCAACGTATTTTGAGGCGTTTTCTGGCTCCAGGAGGGATTTATAGCAGTTCATACTTTTCTCACAATCACAACCTGTTTGACTCATGAATAACTCAGTCATTGGTGCCGGTAATAGGCCCAGACGGTTACTGTTTTGTACATAATTAATAATCCCCCCTCTCCCTGCAGCCGGTGAGTCAGGCTCAGTTTGAGGCGGCTCTGAGGATTCTGAGAGATGAAGATGCTATCACTGTGACTGGACAGCAGACCGTCAGAGTCTGCTGAACTATAGTGATACACTATGACTATATAACTAAACCACAACCTACTGTGTGAATTTTAGTAGTAGGGGCAGCAATGAATTGCTGAACTTCATGCAGTATGTACAAGTATACCTCTGTCTGCACCGAGTGCTGTATGGGTCTCAGACCAAACCCAGGCAAGTACTCCACTAATCATATTCATGACTAAACGTTGGTCATGAATAAGATTACTGGGAGAGTAGGTGCCAGGACCTATATATAGTCATGTGTCGTTAATAGACGGTGGAAATGGACTCATATCTCAGCACATGTTCAAACATATTTTGTTACAATCACACAAAATGCCAGCAGAGTCAACCCATATAATTTTAGTGCGATTAGACAAACACACATCAGAGGAAATTTTATGCATAAGAAAATTACACACTTAGAAAAGTTAGAAAAATGTTATTTCTGGAGCCCTGTAACAATGGTGGAAATGTGGATAATATGGCACCATTTCCAGGCTCACTACACCAGGTGGAGTAACCTGAGATGATACCACGGTAATGAATGCACTTCTACTGTAACAATGGTGGAAATGTGGATAATATGGCACAATTTCCAGGCTCACTGCACCAGGTGGAGTAACCTGAGATGATACCACGGTAATGAATGCACTTCTAATGTATAATGGTGAACCAACCTCAGTTTCCAGTTGGTAATTACCATTGGTAATACCAGTCACCTGCAATAATGTTATACACTACACAGTTGATTCCAATGAACAAGTATTACTAGCTCTGTAGAATCTTGTCCTGGAGATAACTGCCCTGAAACCACAGCTCCAAACAGAGGTCCGTTCACAATTCCAGTCACCTGCAGTATTTTATACCTTATCCTCATGCTAAATCCTGCAGTAAACCGTTATGTAATACCAGCTCTGAATGGCTTGCAGTCGATCCTTCCGCTCTCGGCTGAGCGATGTGCTGGGCGTAGCTGTTGCTGCCGTGGTTAGCTAGCTCACTCACTTGGTCGTGGCGTTGAGGTGCATGACAAACAGCTCGCAGCTGGCTCTTCTCAGCCACGTCAGGAGTAGCCATGCAGTTACCGTCAGCCAGCTAGTTCTATAAGACCACTGCATCTCTCTCACTCTTCTCAACACTATAACACAATGCTCTATTATACCGCTTTATTATGCACGTATGCGCATGAGAGGTGGAAACTTTTTGACCTTGGGGGGGCCCTGCCTTTACACCGAGGCGTGCACAGCCACCTCTGTGGGTGGCTGGGTAGGAGTAAACGCTGTGTTGCGAGCGTTGTGTGTGGTAGGATGTACGTATGTATCAACTTGACCCAGAAAGCTGCCGCTACCGTAAGTACCGCCTCTCCT